CCACCCCCAGCGAATGGGAAGGCGGGCTGCACTGGGAGTGCCCAGCCCAGCAACACGCAGCAGGTCTGTGGCTTCGGGAGAGGCCAAGCCTGAAGCCAGCTCAGCATCCAGCCTGGGGTGGGGGGACTCTTTGGGCTTTGAATGAAAAATACTGTGAGTGTTTGTCTGCTCCTGGATCTCTGAGTGTTCAGTCAGGAAGGGCTACACTTCACCTGTGCTAGGAATGACACTGGAGCCTGCCCAGAGCGTGTACTGGGGGGCCACAGGGGAAGGTCCCCAACCTAGTCTGGGGGCAGTTTTCAAATCATGAACTGAGACTCATAAGTGGGTCAGAAATCAATTCAAAGCCTGAAACCCACATTTTAAAAAATTTAAAGAGGAAAAAATAGAAATATCGAGTGAATCACACGTAGTAAAGATAGAAGGTCATGCTATAAAATGTGATTCTAATTGTGGTTGTGACTATTTAAAATGCCACCAGCCTTTAAAAACAAGTTGCCAGATTCAAAATCAACATACAAAACCCCATACCATTTCTCTATACCAGGCATAACCAGCTAGAAAGTGTCACTTTCATGAAAGGTGAAACATTTTTGTATGATGGCTGGAACTTACTTTCCAGTGGTTCAGAAACAAAGTGTGTATGTGTGAATGTACATGAAAGAGAGAATTTACCAATATTAAAAATTGTTGATTTCAAGTAAAAGGTATAAGGGTCATCATCCCACTTTTCTCTTGGTTTGACATTTAAAAAAATAAAAACTTGGGAGAAAAATACCACTTGCAATAGCAACAAAAATTATAAAGTATCTACAATAGAATTTATGTGAATGTCCAAGGCCTTCATGGAGAAAAAGAATGAACCTCTAATAAAGGACATAGGCAATGGTCTGAATAGATAGCCCGTTTCTCGTATGGACCTGCATTATATTATAAAGATATCAATTATTCCTAAAGCAACCTTTAAATTCAATGCAGCCCTAATCAAAATTCCATTTGGATTTTTTTTTTTTTTAGGAACTCAGTAAGTTTACTCTAAAAAACAAACGAATAGCTGAGCCGCTCTTAAAAATTAGAAGTTAGAGGTGACATTTGCCTTACTGTATATGACCAAACAACCTGACAAAGTCATGGTGATACAAACATCATCATGACGTTTACGGTGCTAATGCTGGGACAGGCCAATAAAGAGAGGCCACAGTTCAGAGGCAGCCTGTGCGGGCGGGAACCGAAGGCGCTGCCGGATGTAGACACACAGCTGACGCCGCGGCTCATTCCGCGGGTCAGTGGGTCAGTCACGGGGGTCTTCACCTAATGCTGCATTTAAGAAGGAACTCTCTCTGGGTTAGAGCCCTCAGTTTGAAATGTACGGCTACAAAAATGACAGAAGGAAAGATAGGAGAATATCTTTGTGACTTAGGCGTAGGGAAAGACTCTTCAAGCAGACTTCAAACTCATAAAGAATAAGATTTTTAAAAGCTTGGATGTGAGTGGAATAAGCCTAAAGATTTCTGTTCAGCGAGGAAGAAAATAGTGGAGGCTGACAGTGGGAAAGACGTTTACATGGTCTAAAGCCAACGACGATCGATACCCAGAATGTACGAACCAAAACCCAGCAGAAACAAGGGCGAAGGAAGCCACATCCAAGTTCAGAAGAGGAAATTCTGAAATTTAGCAGCACATTAGGAGGCCCTCTAAATTATTAATGATCACAACAAAATACAAATTAAAACAAAGAGACAGCTACACTTATAGATGAGTAAAAGTTAGAAAGCTCTGGAGTCCAGTGTGACCCTACCCTTTCTGCACCCTCAGGAGAATACCGTGAGCAGCCATTCCCAACCTGGAAGTCCCGTGTGTCTGACCCTGCTTCTCTAGACGGGTGTGGGGGACTGGCTAACATGATTGCTTGAATGTTCCGCCCCAAGACACCAGGCCTTAAGGAGCCTCCATCTTGAGCCACGCCTCCTGCCAAGGGGCTTCCTTTAGGGTTTTCAAACAAGAGCCAGGCAATTAGATCTGCTGAGTTGTTGGGTTTCTCTTTTTAAAGAAGTTATTATTATTATAAGTTTCACATGGGAAACTGTGTTACATACAGGAACAGTAAAGATAGGGGTTTCCTGGCCAGGAGCAGCGAAGGTCCTGCCTCCTGCAGACCGAGGAAGAGGGAGGTAGATTGGCTCTGGGTGACAAAAGGCTCTCCCCAGGGGAGTGGACAAGGCTGCCCTGTGAGGGAATGAGCTCCCAGTTCCAGGGGGAGGCAAGCAGAGGTTGGACAGCCAGTCAAGGATCCCACAGAGGTGTCTTTTCCGCAGGGGTGGGAAGAGGGGGAGGACTGAGGGGAAGGGCACAAGTGTTGAGTCAGACAGGGCAGGGATGGATCCCGGTTCTGCGGCTTCCTAATCGTGTGACCCGGGGCATCTCCCTGAGGCTCAGCTTTGTTATCTACAAAATGGGGCCAATGAGGGCTCCTGCAGAGGGTGGGAAAAGCACCTACATGTGGTGGCACCATTAGATGACTCAGTTTATGAAGATAACCAGCAGGGTCCTGGGGCCAGAGCTTCACTGAAGTCCCACCCTTCCCCAAACTTGTCAGGAGGCCAGGCTCTTCCTGACTTATCCTAAAACCTCCCATTCCCCTGAAGCAAGAGCAGGGCCAATGTCTCCCCCACCCCACCAGGCTGGGTGCCTAGGCAGGTCACTGTCTCTCTCTAGGCCTCTTTCCTCACCTGCCAGGGATGGGCTTCCTGTTGGAGTCTTCCAGTTCTAACATTCTGGAATGCCTGGGCATCTAAGGAGCCACATGTACATGTCTCTGCTTCTGGGGGACCAGTGTCTTCACAAAATGAGGGGCTTGGCCTGCATGAAAATAACATCAGCAAATCCATGCTTGGCACTGACTTATCAGAACCAGGGACTGCTCTAGAGCTTTGCGTGATTGATCCACTTAATTCCCACAATGACTCCATGGTGTAGTGCTGTAATACTGCTTTACAGGTGAGGGGACCGGGGCACAGAGAGGTTGGGTCACTTGCCCAAGGTCACACAGCTAATATGAGCCTGGACAATGAGTCCAGAGTCCATGCTTGCAACCACCACATGACACCCCTCCTGAGTCCCAACACTCTGAAATGCAGAAGGGGGACCGAGCATCTTCCAAACGGCACCATTTTGTGCGTATTTTCTCAGACATGACCCCAGCTCCACTTCGAACACACAGGAGTTGCCCAGCCCAGAGGCAATGATGTCCAACACCCTGTATGACGGGGCCTTCCTGGGCCCCAAGAATTGCCTGTACCTGATTATCACACACTTCTGTTAGATGCCCGTTTTACAGACAGGAAAACGAGGCTTGGGAAGGACAGAGCACTTGCCAGGGTTATATGACCAGGAACCGGCAGAGTGAGGACTGGAGCTCAGAGCCTCCTGGTTTCACCAAGCACTGCTGTCCCCAGAGCGAGCCTCCACCTGGCCCTCCCAGAGACTCTACCCCTAACTCCCAGAGACAGCGTGAGGGTAGGGCTGGAAGAGACACAGCCAGGTGGGAATGCTGAAGAAGGTGAGGTGGCGCTCATGGTGGAACTGCGTGAGAGCTGAGGGCTGATATCAGCACATGTGCGCGGACTGTGAAAGAGCAGCCTTTTAGACGTCAGATCAGCATCAACAAGAGGGTTTGGGAGCTGACAGCGCTTGAGAGGAGCACTGAGGGCCTGGGGAGACTGCAGCCCAGGGCACAGGCAGTGAGACAGGGTGGAGAGTCAGGAAGGGGCGCAGACTTGGAACATTGTCCTGCGGGCGGTGGATCATGGCTGCATGTTTGAGTCTTCCCTGGTTGAATAAGAAGCTCTAGAGGGGGCTGGAGCTACTCCCAGGTGAGAAACATCTGGGGAGCCTGGGAAAGAGGCTGTGGGGTGGTGGAAGAAGCCGGTTAGTATGAGTGACCTGACTGAGCGGTGGATGAAATCACGAACTGAGGCTGCGAGCGCTGGAGGGGGAGATGAGTGGGCCTGAGTTTCTCCATCTGCGAAGCGCGCTGATACAGGCCTCCGAGGGCAAATCATAGCGTGTCTGCCCTGCGGTCCCAGAGCAATGAGGAGGAATCCCTGAGCCCCCACGATGTGCCAGAACTGGTCGTTCAGAAACCTCAGCCTCATTCCTGAAGCCTGCCCCTCCTACCGCCGTCCTATCACAGCACCGAAAATGCTTAATACAGGCCTAGAGCCCACTTTCCCCATCCAACAATAGGTCCCTCTTGGCGCCTCCAGAGGTCTAGGTCTCCCCTCCTCCAACCCAAGCCTTTGGGATGACTATGGACATGGAGATGGAAAAGAAATGGGCTCATGCCTCTTCAAGTCCTTCTTTCCCCAGCCCCTGCGGTGGTCGTCGCTGAGTTCATTGTACAACAGGGGTCCCCAACCCTCGGGCCCGCGAGGGAAGCTCCCCTGAGCTCTGCCTCCTGTATCCGCCCCCCTAACCCTTCCACAGCAGGGGGTGACCGGCTGCGAGCAAGTGAAGGACTGCCGCCCCAGCCCCGGCCTGAGCTCCGTTCCCTTCCCCCTTCCTCGCCCCGTCCGTGGAAAAACCGATCCCTGGTGCCAAAAAGGTTGGCGACCGCTGCTGTACAAGGTGCTTTCCCAAAGCTCAGCGGCCTGCACGCCCTCTGCGGGGCTTGCACGGGAACCCTCGGGCACCCGCCGACCTGGGTTCAGCCCGGGGTGGCTCCCGAAGGCATTCCACAGCAGGCAGAGCGAGGTTGGAAGGGAGGACAGAAGAACAGGGGCTTTATCGAGCCCAGAGGGGTTAGGCGGAGCCTCACAGGCTCCCAAACCCCCTCCTATTCCCCAGCGGGAACTCCGCAGCCACCTCCCGGCGGGTTCGCCCCACAGCGCGGTGCCAGATCGCATGCGCAGCAATCCTGCTCCTTCCGCCCCGTTGGAGAGACCACGCCTCTGTCCCCGAATGGGCGGAGGCCGCGGGGCGGGGCGGGGTGGGCCGCAGCCCGGGAGTCCCAGCTCTAGCCCCCGCCTTAGGCCATCCCGAGCCGATCCCTGGCCGGAGCCGGAGGCTGCTGCCTGGGGCTCGTCCAGCCTCCGCTCCGCTGCCCGCGCCGTGCCCGCATCCCGGAGTCCGGCTCGACCCGTGGCGGCGCGGCAGGTAGGAGGCGCTGCGCAGAGGGAGGCGTGTGCGAGCGCGCGCGAGTTCCTGTGTGTGTTTCGGAGGTGTGTGTGCAGGTGCAGCGCTGGCCGGTGCGTGGCCGGTGTGTGCCCGGTGAGCCCCGATCGGTGTGTCCGTGCGGGGGGTGAACATCCCGCACGCCGGGGAGGAAGGGGGTGAGCCCTGGCTTTCAGCCCCGGGGGGCGGGAGCCTCGAGGATCCGCCGGGGCACCCGGGGTTTGTCCCCACCCTACCCTCCACCCCACGTCGAGGGGCCTCCCGGCCCTTCCAACCCCCACCGCGCCCGCCTCCCGGAGTTCCGGGGCAAGTTTCCTAGTTCAGACGCCCTGGTGTTGAACCCCCGGGACTTGACCATCTCTTCCTCACAATTTCCCTGTCCTGGTCCCTTTCCAGCTCTCCACCCATCAATTCCAAGTCCCCTTTTGGGTGTCCTCCCTCCTTCCCATCCCCCGTCCCGAGAGGCTTGGGAAAGCGGGTAAAGCAGCTTCTCTTCCTGACCCTCCTCCATTGTTAAACGGGGGCCTTTTCTGGGTTGCGGGCTTGGGTGTGGTGTGAGGAGCAGGGGGTGGTGTGGGGAGATCTGGGAGAGGGTGGGTCTTGGGCTTCTCCGATCCTGCCTCCGCTCTTCAGAATTGAGAGTCTGGGGAGGCCTGCCTGGGGTCCAAAAGTGAAGTAGGACAGATCATTACCAGGTGCCAAGTTCTATTCAGGCTTCTTCTCATGGGGTGGGATCCTCCCCACCCTCCCCATCCCTGCCCCGACCCCACAGGAATGAGGAGAGTGGGCCCAGAGCTCCCGTGAAGTGAGCGGCTGTCGGGGGTGTTGAGCCAGAATTTGAACCTGGGTCACCTGACTCTCAAGCCAGAATCTTCTCCCTGCACCTGCCATGGACAGAAAAGCGCCAGGGGAAACTACCTCGTGGATTCTAGGGATGGAGAAATCTGAGTAGACTTCCTGGAAGAGAGGGATTTGAGGGTAGGGTTCAGCCTAGCTTTGAGTTGAGGCTTCCTGGGCAAACCACTGTATTCAGCTTCAAAGACTGTTACCCCCAGTTTCTGTGGGCCTATTCCTGGTTGCAGTCCCCCAAGTCCTGGGGGGTGGGGGTGGGAGGCCTGGCTCCCTTCCCCACTGAGGGACCGGGTAGGGTGGGGTGGGCCCAGCTGATGCTGCTTCCGGCCTGGCTGGCCAGAGCTGGGTGCCAGGACAAAGAGGTGCTCTGGAGGGGTTATGCCCTGAGGCAAACAGGTCAACAGAGAAGCCCTTGCCCAGGGTTACAATCCTTGCTGGGAGCCAGGGGTGGGGGTGGGGGGCTGGGCAGTCCTTGCATGGGTGCTGGGGGAGATTTCATGTTGGATGCATGGGTGCTGGGTCTCCAGGGTTGAAAAGTTCACCAAGCAGAAAAGAGGGCAGGGCACTGCAGGCCCAGGGAGCAGATGGGGAAGGGCCTGCAGGTGTCAGAATGATTGTCCGTGGGAAGGGGCATTAAATAGATGTGTTCAAACATCATCTTTGGCTACTGTCGTGGGTGGGTCACTGCGGAGGGCAGTGAGGTGAGGCCAGAGCTCCTCAGGCCCTCACCTGCGCACCTTCCACCTCTCCGCCTCGCTGCCAGTGGGGGGTCTGATAGAGGCTCCCAGGACAGAGGTGGGGGTGGGTGGGGTGCTAAGGGGCTGCTCTTGGCTCCAGTGTGGGGAACGGTGGGGAGGGGAGCTGAGATGGGGCCACCACTGGGGGTGGAGTAAGCCTGGGAGATGTGGACAAGGTGGTGGTTGGACAGTGGCTGTGAGAGGCCTGTGGGCTTCCGGGGCTGACACCCAGGACGCCGCTCCGGGGCCGGGGCTGCCTCTGGCTGCTGCTGCGGCCACTGCTTTCCCCACGGGCTTTCGGGACCCTGAACGGCAGGCCCTCCTGGACCCCCGGTGGGCAGAGGCAGCCCCTCCACCCTGCCTGTGTCTGTTTCTTCTTTGCTGAAACTGTCTCTGCACAGGACCTGGGGCAGGGAACTTCCCCTGTGAGTTTGTTTCTTCACCTGTGAAAAGGGGATAAATGCTGCCTAGTCACAGGGTTTGGGGAATGATGACTAAGTTAAATAGTGTCACTGAAGTGCTTTACTGGTACGTGATATTTGGTGGCTGTTATAATGAGTGGTAATTAACCATCAGCATCACATCATCTCTTCTTCCCTGAGGTGGGGGCGACAGCCCAGAGGACAGAGGGGCCGACTTTGGGAGAAGAAGGGTGGAAGGAAATGGGGTCTCCCATGGAAGGGGAAGCCCTCTCGGTGTCAGTGGGTCTGGCCCTCTCACAGCCCTTGAGTGGGTGGTCTCTACCTGCCTGACCAAGTCCCTGGGCCTCCCAGAGGCTCCTAACCCTAAATGTCGTAGCCAAAAAGCTCCTGGCAGAGGGCAGGTCTGCAAACCTCCCAGCCCCGTACGGCTCCCCAGCCACCTGGGGCCTGAACAGATGCGGACATCTGTCTGTCTGGCTGTAGTGGTCTTCTCACCTGGCCCAGCCCTCCGCTGCCTCTGTGTCCTCAGGTGTTGTGAGTGCCTGTGGAGCCCCCTCCCCTGCCCCTCAGACCCCGCAGAGACCACTTCTTTTCTTCATGCCTTGCCCGCCCTGCTCAAAACACCCCTTCGCTGACAGCAGCCTCTCCAGCCTCTCTTCCAGCTCCCCCAGCTTCTCCTCTCTGGCCCCGGCTTGTCTTGCTTCACTTCAGGCCAAGCTGCTGACTTCCCTTTGGCCTCAGGCCTTGCCTTTCCCTGCTCACTACAGGCAAAATAGGCCAAGGCCCTTTGGGGTTCTGGTCCAGGATGTTTTAGGAAGCCAGACTCGGACTTGGACCTGGGAAGGTCTGAAATGTGAGCATTTGCTTCCCGTAGTGGCCAGAGTTACTGCTGCCCATTCTAGTTGTTCAGGGGTGTGTTTCCAAGGCTCGCTTCCCCGGGGCCGGGCCTGGGGGTGAGGGTGCCAGTGGCTCAGGTTGGGGTGGCCTGGGGGTGTGGCCTGCGGTTTCTGCCACAGTGGGGCATGGGTCAGTCATGGATGGAGGAGCTGGTGGCCAGAGCAGACAAATCCCATCCATTGGTATGCAGCTCACCATCCCTGTTGGGGCGTCAGGGTGTCCCCAGTGATAGCCACAAGATCTGGAGGCCTGGGGGACAACAGGCAGAGAGCGGCTGGCTTGCCCAGCCAGCCCCTGCCCCAGTACCCCCACCCCCCACCCCCATGCGACCTGCAAATCAGTGAGGTGGGACCCAACTGGTGTGTTACTAGTAGTAGTAACTGAGACGCTGAGGTTTGGGGTGCCTTTGTTTGGCGCTGGAGCAATTCAAGGTGTGATAACGTCATCCTCACTTGCTCACCCCCTTCTGTGAGCAGGAAAGAGGAGTGAGGCCGCCTTCCTGGAGCCCACACTGCCCTTGACGGTTCTCCATTGCTGCTGTGACAAAGTAACACACGCTGAGTGGCTTAAAACAACGCATTTGTGTTCTCGTACAGTTTAGGAGGTCAGAGGTCTAAAATGAGTCTTTTGGGGCTAAAATCAAGGTGTCGGCAGGCTGGTTCCTTCTGGAGGCTGCAGGGGCAGAATCCGTTCTGCGTCTCTCCAGTTGCTGGTGGCTGCTGGCGGCTGCTGGCGGCTGCTGGCGGCTGCTGGCATCCCTGTGACCTCCCAACCCCTCTCTCCTCTCCTTTCCTCTTGTGGAGTCCAAGCTCCCTCTGCCTCCTGCTTATAAGAACACTTGTGACTGCATTGAGGGCCCGACTGGGGAACAGGATTATCGCCCCATCTCAAAATCCTTAATGACGTCCACAAAGTCCCTTTTGCCATGTAAGGTAACGTTCACTGTTCCAGGGATTAGGATGCTGATATATTCGGGCGCCATTATCCTGCCTTCCACAGGAACCAACTGCAGTGCCGTGGCAGGCTCCTTCCTCAGGGACCCCCTCCTGGGTGCCCACTGCCACTGGCTTCTTCCCGCATGAGGTCATTCCCAGCGTCTGTCTCCCCCAGCCGGGGGGCTGCTGTGGGCAGGGCCTGGGCCTGCTGCAGCTCTGGCGCCAGAGCCCGGCCTGAGGGCCCGGTTGGCCAGAGCTCAGGGATGCTTGGAAGAGAGGGATGTCCCCACCCATGGGTTGCTCCAATGACCAGACCTAGTCTTGCATTTTACAGTGTGTTAGCCCTTTAAGAGTGGAACACAGCTCATGTCAGATGTTCATTCAACAAACCCAGTGCTGCGCAGGGGAGATCGCTTGGGCCCTATTTTGTAGAGTGAAAGCTTATTGAAGCCACATTCTGCCTGGAGCAGAGGTGTGTGAGGGGAGCAAGGTGTGGACGGATGGGCAGGTAGAGTAGAAAGACCTTCATTTTACAGATGAGAAATGTAAGGCACGAAGGAGGTTATTTATTGTATTGCCTCTCCCTGGGCCTCAGTGTCCCCCTCTGAGGGCGAGGATGTGCCTCTCATCCTCGGATTCGTCCTCTGCCTGGGCTCTGGCATTCAAGGCCCCCACAGGCAGGAACAAGTCGCAACACAGAGCAGCGCCCAGAGCTTGGAAGTTCTGCCAACACACCACTTGCGTGTAGGTGGCAAGCCTCTTGGGGCCTCTGAGGAAAAACCCCCTGGCCTGCACGCAGCCCACCCAGCCCAGTGTGGGTCTCTGGTACATCCCCACGACCAAGGCCATGCCGTATAGAGCCCTGCTTCTCTCTTGGGGGCCATTTTTGCGGCCTGGTTGCTTTGCCTGCGCTCTGGCCTCCTCTCTATCCCACCTTCCTGTGAGCTGCCCAGGAGCCCTGCTCACATCCCCGCCGACTCCGAGTCCTGAGCCTGGCTCTCGGGGCTCCCAGCTGTGGCAGTGCTTCTGTGCTAGCCCCTTCTTCCTTCTATCTCTTCCCAGCACCCTGCCTCCCAGCCTTGCTGGAATGGTTTCTTCCTTCTAGAATGTTCCATCCTCCTCCAAACCTTCCACTTTCT